GCCCAGCCTGGGCACTTGCCAGAGGAACTGGGGCAAAGGATCCCCACCTCGGGGCACCTACCGAGCGGGATGATGATGATATTGGGGTGCTTGGAGGCCAAATTCTGTAACTCCTGCAAGAGAGGGCACTGTGTGGGCACGGAGAGGCTGCAGGGGCTGGGCAGAGKTTCACCCCTTCCCAGGCAAAGCCCACGTTGCTCTGGCTCCATCCCAGCACTACCGTGTACCCAGCACCCTCCTCTGGCTGCCAGATGGGGAACCCAATGGAAGGGGAGCACTCCATGACCATGCACCTCAGGCCCCTCCACACATCCCATGCACCGCTGCTCCCACCGTGTCCCAGCCCACGTGCCCTGCACTGCAGGTGCACAGCTGCAGCTCTAACCCCTTCTAAATCCCTCCCTGACCCAATCTTTCCCTGGCACGGAGTGCTCCTATCCTCCAGCACAGCCACTGCCTCCCAGCCCAGCCTCACCTGTGATCGCTGTCCTTTGGGGTCACGACAGCCTGCAAAGATCCACTGGGGTGGGTTTGGCATCTTCAGGAAATGCTGGACAAATCCCAGRCCAAGGCCACGGTTGGCCCCAGTCACCAGAACAGAGCGGACACAGAGCCCTGCCATGCTGCCTGTCCTCCTCTGCCCCAGCTATGGCTGTTTGCTCAGCTTCCTAATATTTCCTTATAGCATTTTCCATGGACAACCCCACCCACACAGGGTTTACACCAACCCTTGGTTCCAGGAGGAGCAAATGCTCCAGCCCTTCAAACTCCAGGACATTGATCCCGGCTGGAAGCCCTCTTCCAAAGGGCAAAAATCACTTGGCTTTTCCAGGCAAATTCCGCTGTCCTTGGAAAACGTGCAGCCATAAGCCACAAGAGGATGTTGTGGGTGAGGGAGGGAGGGAGCAGCTAGTGGAAGGGATGGGGGAAGTGCCATGGCTCACGTGGGCTTGACACCTTCACAAGAAGGGCTTTCCTCATTAGACACACACAATTCTGGGAACAGTCTGATCTCATCCCACTTCCCAGGGCCCCTGAGCCAGGACATTCCCCACACGGCCTTGAGCAGACACTCTCTGCTTTGTTCSTGCATCATCCAAGCCAATGCCTGTTCCCTGACTGTCAAGAGAAACAAAGCASCCATGGAGGGAAGCAATCATAGTGGATGCAGTCTCCTGGCAGAAAGATGGGCACCTGCATGCCCGGCACATCACCAGCTGCTGGCCTTGGGCTTGCCACATCTTAATGCAGCATCTGTGTCCTTGCAGCAGGAATTTCTGCTGCTGCTGGAACAGGCAGTGAAGGGAAGGAGGGTCTGAGCTGCAGCAGGGTCTGAGCCATCAACATCTGCACCAAACTGGGCTCCATCGGGCTGTGCCTYGGGCTGCCAGAGGGCCCCATGTACCCGTACYGGGCCAGCAAGGTGAGGTGCCAGGGGAGGTGCTGGGGATGCTGTGCCAGGCACGGGACCCATGGAGGGGAGGGAGCCCATGGGGCTCCCACCCCCTGTCTGGTTCTCCCAGGTGGAACCACAGAGACTGCACCTTCAGGAGGGGAGCTGTGCCCAGGCGCAGCATGTCCCTCTTTCCCACCTGTGACCAGGCATCCCCCAGCTGAGGGGAGATGGCACCTGGTCCCTGTGACCCCCAGCCCCTCAGAAAACCCAGCCTTTCCCCAGTCCTGCAGGAGCTCAGAAGATCTCTCTCCCCTCAGGAGAGGGGACCTGCTCCAGCTTCTCCAGTGCCTCCTGGAGGGGAGGTCTCCAGAGGGCACTCACGGTGCCATGGGACCTGCAGGTTGTCACTCATGGGGATGCCAGTGACAGCCGTGGGTCAGGGGCAGCTGTGGGCACCACCTCATGTGGGAAGGGGCCATCCCGCGAGCTGGCAATGCACAACAGAGCTGGGGACGCTCAGCAGGAGTTTATTGAGGATGTGGGGCAGGGGGAGCAGTGGCACAGGGTCCCGCCACCAGGATCCTGAAGTGGTGTCTCACCAGGGTATGACCTTCCCTTCCCAGTCCAGGAAGGTGCCGGTGTCCTTCTCGGAGATAGAGGAAAGGACCTTCAGCATCCCTTGCACGCTCTCATCCACAGTCAATGGGGGCTGTGGGGCAGAAGGAGAAGGCAGCCAATGTCTGAGGCCCTGGAGCAGCCAAAGCTGGAGAAAGGAGCCCTCTCAAGACAAAGGGGGAAGCTGGAAACGCAGAACACCCTGGACAGAGGGACTGAACAGGGAACTGAGGGGATGGGCGCACCCAGCAGCCAGGACCAGGACAGGGAGAGCTGCCCCAGCAGCCATTGGGCAGGCAGGGAATTCATGGGCGGGAGCTCAGGGCAGCAACTCCCACCCATGGAAAATCAGGASAGGAGCTCTGATGGACCTGCCCCAAAGGAATTCCTACCGTTTGCCCAGCAGCAGCGCCCAGGTCAGTCTGCACCCAGCCAGGGTGGAGAGCGATACAGAGGATGCCGGGCTCCCGGTACCCCAGGGACTGGCACTTGGTCAGCATGTTCAGAGCAGCCTGTGGGGAGACAGGGAGGGGATGGTGGTGGGAGAGGAAGGGGGATGGCAAGGGGACCCACASCTGGGACAGGGCAGGGGAAGCAAAGGTGYGACAGTACCTTGCTGCAGCGGTAYGAGGTAGCATGCACCATTTCCCAGCCAAAGGGAAAAGTGATGGAGCCACCAATGCTGGAAATGTTGGCGATGGCAGCCTTGCTGCAGCTCAGCCCTGAGCCTGGGCTCCCCTGGGCAGCCTTCTTCAGCAAGGGCAGGAA